TCCGGTCGTGGCCAGGGAGGCGGTCGTCGCCGGCCCCCCGCCGCCGCCGCCGCTGATAGTGCTGGTGCTGGTCGAACAATTCCTCGCAACAGGCTCATCCGTGATGTACGAAGCGCGCTGCTTGACGTCGGGCGGCCCGACGTCGCTCGCGGCGACGGCGCCGTCGGGTTCGCTGTCGTCAATCTCCGGCAGTATCACCGGCAGGTACCGGTTAAAAGATACGACCATCGTGCCACGGCTTGCCAGGTCTCACCTCGCAGGTCATCATTTGTGTCGTTGTGTGGTCGAACGGTGGCAAGACGTCAGATAACGGCGATAGCGACGGCAGTCGTTCGTCGCATGTAAACACACGGCGACACGCGGGTGTCCCTGTCTCTTCTCTCCGTCGCTTTTATTGTCGGTTCACGCGATTCCCGCTTCCCGCTGTACGGTGAACGGGCTTGACACACGTTCGTTGTTTCTCGCGCCTTCCTCCGCCCTCCCCCCTCCCCCCCGCGTAAATGGCCTGTGGTGCACGTGCAGGTCGGCCACACAAACTCGATGACTCCCCTGGACCACCCTGGATCCTTGCCAACGTACGATTGTTATCTAAATCGCGCGCGCAAGCGTCAATAATAGCCTATCAACGGCGTGTAGTACACAAACTGTCATGACGTGACATTCGTGACAGCTGTTTCGAATTCGTGAAACGATCCAGAAAAATAACAGTATATACAAGTGTAACTATTTTCACAGTAAAGAATCGTATGTTCTTTCCAATAAAAATACGATCGAATATTTTTATTTCTTTTTTTTTTGTTGACAACAGATCAGTTGGTGGACACGAGACTTTACGCGACCTTAGGAGGGGATGATCAAGAGACACGTGGAACGTCTGCGTGAGCGAGTTGCTTCGAATCAGCTGTTGACAGGTTGATTTCGCGACAGTTGAGCCATTCAGCGCACCTCTTTGAAGTTTCGCTGGTCACCATGGCGGCAAACAAGACGGTTATCGTTCTCGCGCCAAACGGTCGCCGGCAGAATGTAAAAGTTACGATTAATACGACGATCCTGCAGGTGAGTCCAACGAGGATTTAGCACGATACTTATATTCGAATACGTTTCATCAAAATAAAAAAGATATCCTCGATATGATTTTCAAATAAAGGTTTTCTTGCAGGTTTTGGAGGAGGTATGTCAGAAGCAGGGCTTTAACGTCGACGACTATGACATTAAGTGAGCATGACACTTGAGACTTCGGTTTCCACAATGATATAATTTCTGTAAACCATACATTACATCTCTCATTGTTGTTACAGACACAATCGTCAGATACTAGATCCTAATACGATATTCCGCTTCACTGGTTTGCCAAATAATGCTCAGTTGGAGATGGTGGCCTGTACAAAAACTCGTACCATGTCGAATGTCACAATTGGCATTCAACCGGAGGATGGACAGAGAATATTGCGCGAGTTTTCGCCAGATACAACGTTGGCTCAAGCGTTGATGGAAATGTATCCCAATTCTGACCTTGAGAGAGCTGTGTTGATCTACATGCATCGTGAAGTATGTAAATACAGGATATTTCTAATAAAAAATTTTAAGAGATGATTTGTTAAAGATTAAGAGGGGTTTTTCATATAAACTCCTATCTTTCTATAAAGAATTAAACTCCTTCAAAGGTGGAGGTAAAAGTTAAGTTTTTATAATGTCTATTAGTAATAAGGTTCATAAAATTTAAAACAAGAAAGAAAAAGGGCTACAAGCCAAAAAATTTTTATAAAATTACATTTTTAATGTAGAAGTTGGAACATAAGTAAAGAAACAATTACATTCTTTAGTTAAGATTTAATCACAAAGTGCTAGCAATAAACAAACATTTCGATCGCGATCGGATCATTATCAATGTTAAAACATAAAATATTAAATGGTAAAAAACAATATATATTAATATATATATTTTTTTTGTTTTATGCACTAATCCTGTAGTACAAGTGACCAAATTTACCATGAATTTTCCCAGGAAAGGAGAAAATTACATATTTTCCAACTTAATATAAAATTATTAATATTGTAATAATCAAAGAATATTGGCAAAAAGAATGTATTCTTAACATGACAAAATTCAATCATTTTTGTCATTTTCGTTTCACTACTCTTCAAGAATTTGAATTGTGATGATTTTGACGATTTTTTATGAAGTTAGTTCACTTTTAATGATTGATAAGATAATGTTTACTCTTTATTCATGATTAATAATTCAAAATCACGTTTTTTTAATTGGGTCATTTTTGAAGCGATACGGTATACCGTAGAAATTGTTGTATAATTATATGTTTAATGCGAGCGAATGAGAGAGGTTGAAAGTAAACGGCTCAAATCTTTCCAGGTGTGTGGCAAAGAAGCGTTAGAGAAAACAACATTAAAATCGCTTGGACTCAATAGCGGAAAAGCAATATTGAGATTGATGTATCGTGATCATGAACAATTAAAAACTCAGGCACATATATCTACGCCTTTGCTTCCAAAGTCAGTCGCGAATGATTCATCGAGTGACCGAAAAGTGCCATCATCTTCACCATACTATAGTAAGACAAATGAAACAATTAATTTACCAACAGAAAGTACATCAAAAATAGAAAATCAAGAAGAATCGAGAGATAAAGTAAAAATAGACATAAAAGATGAGACAGTAGATGCGCTTAGTGATAAAAAACAAGAGAAAGATACATTTAAGATAAAAGAAAGTCATTCTATTGCATCCAGCCACGAAGATCACGATAAATCTGGCACAAATCGGCATATTGCAGAAACATGTGCAGAAGTTCAGGAAAACGCGTATGAAATTAAGTTTGTAAGGTGTAATTGTGCATACGTGCAATTGCGTTCAAGTGATAGATTTACTTATCGAGAATTTTTGTATTACAGTTAGGAAAGAGAAATGCTCTAGTGTTCAATCAAGCTGGAACTCAGGCATTGCCGAGGGAGGAATTGCCGGATAGCTTTTTCGACCTCGATCGACACGACTCAAAGACACTTTTACGAGATGCTAAGCGTCGCAGAGAGCAACTCGAGGACGCTCCGCTTCTGACGGAGGCGCAGCGTCAGCTGGATCAAAATAAGCACATTCTGGATCGATTAGTTAAATATCGTCGCGCCGTAATTCGCATACAATTTCCCGACCAATTCGTTCTTCAGGGTTTATTTGAACCGCTAGAGACTATCAAAGCTATCAAGGATTTCATCAAAAGCTATTTGGAGAATCCAGACTGCGAATTCACTATCTGTGAGTAATGACATGCAATTATCACATTCATTTTATGCAAAGGCAAACATGTAATAATTTTATTATGGATAAAATTTTATTATATATTCTTTTCTTTTCAGATACTAGCCCACCAAAGCATATTTTAAACCCCGACGCACGACTAATAGACGAAAATCTTGTTCCCTCTGCTATCGTTTATTATTCTGGACCATCATCGCTAAACTCGAATGTAAAAGAACAACTGACAGATCCTAGAGCCGCTGGTATTGAAGCTGTGAAATCTAGGTAAGATATATTGATGGCATCATTTAATACAGATTGTCATTAAATTTTGCATACTTATCTATAGAATCGCCACGATGCGGAAAGAACAAGATCTAACGACTGAAAGTGATAGAGGCACAGTTGTCGAGAGCAATCATGTCACTCCGGGACCAAGCGGTAGCGGCAAATCATCATTGCCATCAACTCAGAATCAAAACAAAACACCAAAATGGTTCAAACAGGCATTCAAATAATCAATTACCTAACAGCACCGAAAGAGGTTCCTTAAATTTTAATATAAATGATAGGCTACACGGGACTCTATGAAGATCAATGTATACACTAGCACAAACGCGTATACATGTCATCATAACGTAAGTTCTTTTAACAAGTCTTAATGAAATATATAAATTCTGTACACAACAAACGTCCGTGTCTCTCATTATTCTAATTGAATTGTACAAAGCTCTTTACACGTAAGACTTTGATGCTTAGTAAAATTAGTTACAAAAGTGGAAACAAAATGCTACATATACAAATAGTAGGATTCTTAATATCTAACTCTATGGCCGCGATAATAACATCTTATATGTTATATCTGTATATATAATTATATAATTTGTATGAAAAACAGTGATATAGCGAGTGATGAAAAGTACAATTGTGAAATATGTATCCATGGTACTAACTGCGTGATAAAGGTGCTTTGATCGATAACATTAAGTATATATTTTAAGTAATAAATGTGTAATAATTTAGACAGTAACGAGATTTTAGTCCATTGTCTTTTCTCCTTGTTGAAATGGCAAATGCTTAATGTATCTTGCAGAATGAAGCGAAGGTTGTAATAATGTTTACGAATGTTAATGTGAATCGACTATGTTAATCATCTATTATATATTTAGTGCCATTAACTTTGTAAGTCGGGCGGTACCGTCGTAGGCGATTGCAACTGCAAGTGCATAAGCCTTCGGACAGGACCTCCGATTATGTTCCCGGCCGGGCCGGAGCCGCCGGCCTCGGCTTCGATACTTTCTCGCAAACTTGCCTCTACGGGATCCGTGCTATTATTATCGTCATCATCCGCTACCAAACTTTCGTCTTTTACCATCTGCGATTGTAATTGCGAGTCTAATAGCCGCATATACTTGTCCATATCGCCACCTTTATCCTCGTCATCACCACCCAGTGATCCCTCTGAACTACCCTCGAACTCGTCCTCTCCTCCCGGAACAACTAAATCAAGAATGCCTCTTAACGTACTATCGAAAACATCTGCATCGAAATCTATTCGCGCGCCATCCTCTGCGTCTTGCATGTCATTCTCCATTGATTGTTCTCTATAAATGAAATTAGCAATTATCTACTTTTTCATATTTTGCTAATAAATTATGATGATGATTCCCAAAATTGTCGATTTCTCCGACAGATAGAAATCATACCCTAAGAAATGCACGCCATCAATATCACTGGTTTGATTGAGAAACGATTGTACTTTTTCTCGGAGACTTAAAGATTCCTGTTTTTCTAATTTTTTATCCTTAACGTTGCCCCAGTGTTGGTTTAAATATGTTTCTAACTGCGCTGGGTCCACATTTAGCCAACTATTGGTATCTGCAGGACTCAGCGTACTCTCATCTTGAGCTATGTACAGAAAATATACTTCATTATAATTAAATGTGTATTTAACAGTTTGGAAATTATTTGCATACTACTTTTTAAAATAGTATAAATATTTATATACTACTAATTCATCTGTATGCTACTTTTTAGAAATCATTTAAATATGTAAATAAATTACCATGCATTTCAATGTCATTCGTCTGTATGTTCTCCCATGCTTCTAAGACTTTTTGAGCATCGCTTTCGTACAAATTCGTTAGATTATCAAATAAAGTAGCATGCTTCAAGAAATATTCTTTCGCCGTAGATAGTAGCTTATCATGTTCCTGACTACCTTCCAACAGATCTCTAAAATAACCGTTCGCTTCTAAACGAGCTAAGTAAGCGTTGAAAGCTGATTCATTCAGCTTTAATTTTTCAGCATCGTCGGGAACGTCCGACTGTTCTTTGATACGTTTTCTACGCTCTTCATTGGCCCGAGCTACTAACATCTCTAAGCCGCATGCTATTTTAACTCCGAGAACATGAGCATTGTATTTTGAGCAAGTTGCAGGTGGTATGTTCCAACCTGTTCTTGGATCACCAGTATAACGACAGTGCGTCGCCATCGCGTACAAACACTTAGTCATTTTAACATTGACCATGGTTCGTTGTTCGGGAGGGAAATATCTCATGGCACGACAAACCTACAATACATTGTAATAACTAATATGATGTACAAAATCGACAAATATGATGTACAAAATCGGAGATCCTTAAGTATTCTAAAAGATTTTGAGAGATGAATCCTTAAACTCATATCCCGAATTAAATTTTAATCCATTTTTATACTGAATTAAATATGAGGAATTACTTTACAAATTTTTTAGAACACTTAAGAACCACCTTGTGTACGTAAAAAATCAAATTAATTCTATTGTACTTTGCGTTCGAGTGGATCCGAATGGCAGATAGTTCTAATCGCTAGAGCTATGAGTCTTGGTTCTAGACGAAGTATAGAGGCAGCCTTCTCTGGAAGGAAGGCCCGGGCCTTGTGCTTCCTCTTCTGAATCTCATCAGGATAAATGCCAATTCGCTTTTGTAATACAAGCTGCACCTTCTCGGACATCTTAGAGATATGTGGCTTGCCGTTTATGTTATTTAATAAATTGGGAAACGACGTTCCCCTTTCTCTAATAACATGAATATCACCGTTATGAATGAACACACGATCCTGGCACGTTTCAGGGCTGGCCCAGAGTGGCAGGACATGGGCACCTTCTATCAGAAGAAACTCTCCGTCCGAATCTACCACTCTAGCGATCAATCCGTCAAAGACTTTGGTGAGCCTAAATATTAGAAACACCGTCAACCATTCATCCCCTATATCCTCATCAAAACGCTGAATTGCATAAATGTGAGGTAAGGTGTGGTAATCTGGCAAAAAAATGATTAATTATTCTTATTGGCTAGTTGATTATCTTAAGGAATAAAACTGCAACAAGTGGAAATAAAAATATCCACCTTCCTCCACCGCTGATCCCTCGAGAGTTCGATTCAGCAGCATCGCCTGCTTGGTTCTAGGACGGAAATTTAAGCTGTCACTATGCCAGATATGATCGCCGACGAACGAGGCGATTTCCTCGTTGTACTTGGCGATCTCCTCGCTCAATCTCGCCTCCGTCACCGCATCCGGGTCGGATGCGTAGCAGAATTTGGGATAGAGGAAACACTCGATGGTATCCTCCACCTTGATCTTGTGCGTGAACATTGCATTTGCCATTTTCTGGCGTCGCATTTAAAATCCCAAAAATCGTATTCCCTCCCGTCGAGTGCGCAAGCCTACGTCACCGCGTTCACCGGTTCAGTTTGGAACAGACGCGGGATTGTCTCACAGCGCTCGGCTGCCATGGGCGTTCCTCGTGGATGACCGCATAGACCGATAAAAAGCGTGACTGAAGTTGTTTACTGCATTATTTAAGACACGAACCATAACCTATGTGGGACCGCCTGACCGCCATCGAATCGACGCAGCTCCAGGGCACGCGCGCTGTGACGCATGAGCCCTAACCCTAACCTAACCTCCGCGCGATCTAACCTCCGCCATCGCGCTTAATCATTCAAGGGATGCTGTCTGACATTGTCTGACGCGGTGGTCGCGTTGTAGTGCTCGCGTTTGGTGTATTCGTGCGAATTACATGTAATTACGTGCGATGGGGCGCGACGCAGAGCGTAAAAGTGGAGACGCACGTTTGGTTCTCCGCTGAGGGAGACGGCGGAAGTGGATAATTCTCACCGATGAGATCGTCGTCATAACGAGACAGTCATTTAGTCTCTGATGGACCCGGCTTCCTCGATCGCATGCCGTAATCGACGGTAATCGCAAGCGAGCCTCGAAAAATAATGGCGATCATCAGGAACCACCCAGGCGGTCGATCGTCGAGCTGCCTACGCAAGTACCGGCTGATCTTTGCCTTTGGCATAACTGTGCTATGCGTCCAGGTCTACCTACACACATTCTTTGGTCTGGATAATGACAAGGGCAAGTCCAGCCGGTTATCGTCTGGAGAGGTAAGCCTTATCTCCTGAAAGACAGTAAGTTTGTTTCTTATTGCAACATTAGATTGCTTTAAAACAAAATTTTCTTTTTGCTTTTACCAAGTATTCAGCAAACAAGAATGGATTGAAATGAATTGAAATGGATTCAGATTTTCAGAAATATTCACGAATATTAAAATGAATGCTTATAAATTTTGCATTGCAATTACATTGATGCAAATACATTTTTATTTATTTATAGAAATTACATGAAGCATATCTCTATGCCTTTCAATTTAAAAATAATATTAGTTTTTTCTATGCATTGTGAATACTGTTCAATTCAAAATTTTGAATAAAAAATACAGTTTTCAATTGCATCTAATTGAATCTAATTGAATCCAATTAAATCCAAAAAAAAGTATTCGTTATTTAAAATATGCATTCGGATAGAAAAAAATTTCAATCCATTTTAATCCATTCTCGTTTGCTGGGTATCAATTACATATACCTATTTCAATTTAATATACAAAAAGTATATGTTAATTTAAACAAATAGAAAGTATATGTTAACTAAAAAAATAGACCGAATAATGATAGAAATAATAATAGAATACCTAATATAGAAGAATGCTAAAATGCTTTCTTATATAACACTGAATATTATAATACATAGAATATTTATAAATTTATTATAATGATACTCTCTGGCAAATTGCAGGGTGGTTCTTCTCAACCAGAGGAGGATGAAGGCCTGCCAAAAGGTTTACGTCAACTGAAACTTCCACCCGACAAGCAGACAAACACAAACAAACAAACTCAGCTACAATCCCAGCTAAGAAATCGCACCGCCAAAATAAAGCTAGATCGCAAGTCATTGAACTTCACACCTGTGTGTGAAGTTACGGTCCGGGAGGCGGTGAGCGCCATAACGCGTGCTCAGAATCAAGCATGCAAGCAACGCATTGTCAATGTGACGTGCCTTAGCCAGCAGGGTTTGTTGTACCCGGAAAGAGTACAATCTTTGTGTCCCCATTCTCCAGGTTTTACAGGCATACCGATCAACTTGGGCTGCTTCAAAGACGACAAAACGTTGAGAGCACTTTCCGGTTATTATCACGTCTTCAAAGGGATCAATACGCCCGAGCGTTGCGCTTATATGTGTCTTCAATCAGGATTTCCATACGCTGGTACAGAGTACTCGTTAGTATCTTAGTCAATATCTATAATTGATATACAGAATGACAAAAAAGTTTGACCACAAAACATTTTATCACATTTTGTGTTTATCTAAATATTACTTATGTAACAATCTGATATTATTAATATTAAGACGTCATTTGGATGTTTACTAAAATGAGACTAATATTAGCTTGCTACTTGGATAGTAATTTAAAAAATACTACATATAATTCAAAAAATTAACTCTGAAGTACTAGTTACATCTTATTAAAAGAAAAAAAATACTAAAAGATTTTTAAAAGGAATATTAGAAAGATTTTTTTTAGCTGCTTGGGAGAATTTATCTGTAGAATGTATGGTCCTGAAATGCCTTAAAGATTGTTTCAAAAAGTTAAAGGTATCTATTTTAAATGTTAATTATTTTTGTTATTTATAATAATGAGCTATAACTAACATTCCAAGGTTAGTGTTTTGGTATATATATGTTACTAATGTCAGTTGCTAAACAAAAAACTTTAGCCAAATCTTTTTTGTCATTCTGTATATATGAATATGCTGTGCAGCCTTTTTGAAATACCATTTGATTTTAGGGTAGAATGTTTTTGTGGAATGGAAGAACCATTACAGACGAAACGTTTACCAGATTCCAGCTGCAATATGAAGTGTTCCGGTAATCCAAAACAGACATGTGGTGGTTATTTAACTATTAATATATATTGGACTGGAATTCAGAGTATGTGAATGCAAGTATAAAATGTAGACATCTATAATATTATTAAAGAGCAATTTTTGTCTCGACAGAATTTAAACCTCAAGAGGCAAGAAATTCGAGTTTAAAAAATGAAATCGAACAACCTGTACGAATAGCTTATCTGCTGACGGTGAACGGTAGGGCGAGTCGGCAAGTGAAACGACTTATCAGTATTTTATATCATCCCTCGCATTTATTTTATATTCATGTTGATGCGGTAAGTTTAATACTGTAAAAAGAAGAATATTATTTTAATTTTAATTTAGATAAGAAATAAAAATAATTTGTTTACATCATTGTGATCAAATGAAACACAAATTTTTTAATTACAATTATCACAATTTATTATATATTTCCATTTAAACTTTTTCTTTAAATTTAAAAACAGTGTTTTTCAAAATTGTTTCTATTATAAACTTATTATACGAATGTAACAGATAAATAGATCAATATTGTATCAAATTGTATTTTTTCAGAGGCAGGATTATTTATATCGTGAAATGTTGGAATTGGAAAAATTGTGTAAATTAAACAATATCAAAGTGGCAAGAGGGGAAGGTCTGCGACACGCGAGTATTTGGGGTGGTGCGAGTCTTTTGACGACATTCTTGAAGTCGGCGCAACAGATGCTCGCCTATCATCAACACTGGGATTTTCTCGTAAATCTATCGGAATCCGACTTCCCTTTGAAAAGCAATAATCAGCTGATCGAATTTCTCAGTTGGAACAAGGGTATGAACTTTGCGAAGTCGCATGGAAGGGAAGTCCAGCGTTTTATAGCTAAACAAGGTTTAGATAAGACTTTTGTCGAATGTGAAGCACGCATGTGGCGAATCGGTGATCGAAAATTACCAGATGGTATGTTAAAATTTTTGTATAAATTTTTTAATTTTATTGTTTATAAATTTTTATTTCATATTTACGCTCATATAGTATTTTTATCGATAGCTTGTACACATTTTTTTACTAAGTATTTTTTGAGCACTGTTTGATAAATTCATTTACATTTAAGTCATAAGATACATAAAGTCTGTATCATCATGTGGATCTGATCTTTAAAAGTATTCCATTATTCGATATATGCATTACTACATGCTTACATACATAAATTAGAAATTTTTTAAAGATAGATAAACGATTATAAACATTGTCCTTAGAATTGTTTAGGATTATCTGTTTTGAATTTTTCAAGCATCAAAGAGTGTTCCAGTGTTAATAAAGATTTTACTTGATGCTACAAATGCTTTGAAGTATTCTTTAATTGGTTCATTAATAAATAAAAATTATCTCTTCTAGTTGGTTAATTGAATGCTTCGAAGTATTTAATTGACCAACAGTAACGTTAAATGGATTGTACCTGCAATTCAATGTCTAGTATATTGAAAAATTATTTCTTAAAATAAACAGCATCGATATAAACCTACCTGCATATGTGTATGTACGTGTATGTAATTATACAATATTTTATTAATTTTACAGGTATTCAAGTCGATGGTGGTAGCGACTGGTTTGCTCTGAGTCGAGACTTTGTCGAGTACGTCGCCAGTCCAAATCCTGATCAGCTGGTATCCAATCTTTTAAAACTATTCAAATATACCTTGCTGCCAGCTGAGTCATTCTTTCACACGGTCATAAGAAACTCACGGTTCTGCAATACTTACATAGACAATAATCTGCACATGACTAATTGGAAGAGGAAGTTAGGTTGCAAGTGTCAGTACAAGGCCGTGGTGGATTGGTGCGGATGCAGTCCGAACGATTTTAAACTCGAGGATTTTAATCGGCTACGAAACACGGCGGATCGCAATATATTCTTTGCCCGTAAATTCGAACCTGTTATCGATTATAGAATTATAGACCGCGTGGAAGAATGGCTGTATCCCGATCGAGTGAACAAAACGACTAGATCGCGAGGCTACGATATGTATTGGCAAAGTCTGTATCATCATGCGGATCTGAGTCCACTACCGGATGATGCATTGCTAACGCTCTCGTATTCCTTGGCAAGATTGGTTTACCGCAAACTGAACATAGATCACAAAAATATTCGCTTGCTGGAAAATACTGCATACTTTCGCGAGAATCGTTTCGCTGGTATATTAATTCTGGCAGAGAGTAAAAAGGAATTCTCTGATGTATCCGCACTGCCTGACAGTCGTACGAGACGTGTGGAGGTTTTGATCTCTATGCGACACAATTTTTCTGCTAGTAGATTATGGTCGGGAAAGATACGAAGTCTCTCTGTTAGCACGGATTACGATCAAAAGGAACAGACATTTAGAAACTTGATGGGTAGTATAGGGCCGTATTCGACTCCGGTCTTGGCCTATGAGTTTGACGCGAGTGTTACAATACCGCAGAATGTATCAATCCTATGGATTGATCCGCACGGCCGCCTCGCCGACGTGAATCATATACTACTCGAAGAAATGACCTTGGTAATTATCATATGCAACACCAAACGTTTTTCTTACAGTTGGAATTTAAAAAATTTTTTTCCCTCTTATTTCATAATTAGGTCTTGTGTAACTTCATGAGTAGAACTACTGTTCTCTTTTCAGCTAAACTTCTTGCATAGTTCATTTTTCTTCTTTTTCTCTTCACGTTGGAGAAAAAAGAGAAAAAATGAACAGTGTAAGAAGTTCTTGAAAAGAACAAGTTTTTTGTTTTTTTTTCAGGTAGGACATGTTAAGCCGCAGCTAAACGAACAATTAGCTGTTGGTACTTGGCGATTATTATTAGTTGCCGACACTCAGCTGATAGCGAAATTAAGATTCTTGGTAATTCCGTTGTCCTATTGGAAGACCAAGAGAATAAACTTGGATAAGGCGAAGGAGATAATAGACGGTCCGAGCACCGTCTATCATATTACAGAGGAAATGAATAAAAGCTGGTCGAAGTTAGTGAAATCTGCGATAGTGAATGAGCAGATTACTCACAGTCAAAATAGGATCGGTGAGGACCTCGACGATTGGCTGGACAGATTAGTATACGAGCACTACGAGATCGATGAAATGTGTGATGTTGATCGTGAGATTCGGTCCGAATCGAAGTTACAAAAGTGTCTCGACACCCCTTGGAGCTCCTTGAGCCCCGATTCAAAGGCTGATACTCGTAACCTATGTCAAAACTACTAATTAATTATTTTACCAACTACGTGCCATTTTCGCCGTTTTGAAACCTATTGTACGTGTATAAAGATTGCAAGACATCTTTAGATATTTTTATATATCGATTAAACTGTACATATATATATATACTTCATATTTATAAGACAAAAGGTATATATATAAATATATGTATACATACATTTTTGGTATATGTTGTGTGATTAATATTTCTGTCGAATATTTTCACATTAAAGATTAATGGATTATATTGATAAAAGGAGGTGTCGTTTTTTTTACAGCTTAAGAAAATGCCGAAAGATATGTTTTAAAGAATTCTTAGGTTGGTAGTTGATTCTTATATTTAATATACACAAGATAAAGTAATATATGATCGTCTTAAGTACATTTTTAAAATGTGTCATAGTCAATTATAAGTCATATTAATATCTTAAAATATTACTTAAGATGATCTTAAAATAAGAACCGACTACAAATACCGGCCTTAGAATTCTCTTGCTTGAAAAACTTGTCTTTTTATTTGATGATAATAAATATAACAAATATGTGTTACATATTTAATTGAGACAAAGAAATAATATATAATACTTTTGATAATTAGTTAAGAAAGATATAGTTAAATATTTTATTGTTATATTATTATATTATATTATTTTTACATTTGTAATATGGTTTACATTTTATTTCAAATTTCCCTCTTCGAGATTTCTATCATCTAGGTCTCCTTAAGCTCTGTTCATACATATTCATATAACTTGTGTTTAAGCTGATATTCACAATTGTTCTATTTAAAATCGTCTTAAGTATCATAAAATCTTAAGATATAAACTAATCACATAGCTGTATCTTAAGAATTACTTAAGGTAAATTAATGTGCGTATGTGACGTGTGCTTTTTGAAGTTAAACATTTTTGGAATCAATTTGTTATATCTAGATTTTCATAATGTTAGAAAATTCAAAAATATTTTTTCTATCTGTTATTTATATTTTATCTTTTATATTGATTTTTTATTCGAAAGTTTTTTCAAATATCAAATACGAATGTAAACGTAAGTTGATTGAAAGCAAGAGACGTAAATAAAGAAGAGAATATAAAAAAAAACGTCATTTTTTTAAACAATCGCACTCCGGTACTTCGGAATGCTTCGTAATCGTGTTATCATCATGGCATCACCAATCAGATTCGTCCTTTCGTATCTCTCATCCCCTTAAGTAGGAACTTCACGTCACTTCACGGCGTGATATGATTCATCGAGTTATTTCGTAGCTGCAAAGTTGCACCAAGTCGCACGCGCAGGAGTGCAGTGGAGTGGAGTGTCTGCGCGAGCCGACCGTGTTGACATCTAGGAAGTTTAAGATGTCGGGGAATGTTTTGTGCTATGAGCCGCTGGTATGTTCGCGGACGAAATGACTTGCTTGTTGTGGCGCCCGTCAGCTAAATTCCGGCCTAAGTTAAATCCCAAAGTGCTGTAAAAGTGTCGCACCGCCGGTGGGACCGTGCCAGGTCGTCCAGTCGTCATTTGCCACCGACGCCGACGCCGTCGCCGAGCGGGGACTGGGGAGTACGAGATAGACCGAGGGTAGAAGAGAGTAAGAGACGAGACGAAGGCGCCGAGAACTGGTGCCACAGTGTTTGTGTGTGCGCGCGTACCACTGCCAGGACCTGAAGGTATCCGTGATCCCGAGAGTCGCGTTCCTCTTTTCTTATTTCTCTTTCCGGTTGTACCGAGCGGACAGGTGAATTTAATCGTCGCGGAGGGCGGACGGAATTAGGTGGACGGTGGAGGTGAAACGCGGGACGATACACACGTGGTGACGATTTTTCAACAATCATCTCAGCTGTGATGGGAGCCAAGGCGAGTACCGTGGCACAATCCGCTGGTGGCAACGGTCAGTCCTCCACTGGAGCCAATGAGACCACGATGCAGGGCTTCTCTATGCTTCGCTCCCTGCCTGGTGGTGTGGGTATGCTTCAGCATCAACATCAGCAGGCCAATCAATCGCAGAATTCGCGTATGTCCGGAGACAGTAGACAGCGTGCACGCTCCCTGAGTTCCGTGCCGGATCTCTCCTCTGCCGAGCAGGCTAGCCTCTCCACCTCGGTCGGGGTAGGAGTTGGCCAGGCCCTCGGTCTGCCGCAGCTCGACTCCGACGACACCGACGAGGAGAGTGGTCGCGTCTACGCCGCTCACAGCTTGCCTTCACACATTTGGTCCCTTAACGGTAAGTCCAAGTCTCATCTACATGTTTATGCATCTGTCTACAGACAACCTGGAAACTGCTCGCTTCCAGGTTGTCAAACTTGCTGCAATTCTTACTGCGACTCTGAGAGTTAACAAATCGTCTTTGTATCATTGATACGTGAATCATTCAACAATTCTTTGTTATTCTGCATCAAGAGAAAGAGCCCTGTACAAACAATACTGTTAAGATAGAGTCATCTGATCGTTTGTTAGCCAGTCATTCGTCGCGCATCTATCTTATGTTTATTCGCGTGACAGAATTATTTTTCAGTCTGTGCCATCAGGCCTTTTAAAGGATCTCACTCTCGCAGGGCTTTAATCGGCAGTCTCTAACCTAATTGCGAGACGAACGCCGCAAAAAAGCGAGGTTAAGTCGCGCAACCGCGAAAGCTCCGCAGACGAAGTTGGTGCGCGACGATGATTCGCGGGTGGGACAGGGGGCGTTTGTTTTGACGCGTGTTGCCGGGGTGGTTGGCCCGGTAACCGCGTACCACAATCGATGATAGCCCGAGGACACATCAGCGGGGCCTGGGTAAATTTTGAATCGGCGAGAAATATCCGTGGCGTAAAGGGAGAACGAGGAGAAAGGGCGTGTCAGCTCTCGCGTGAAAATCGCACGCGGATGGGAAAGATGAGGCTCGAGAGAGGATCGCCGCGCAAAACAGCGGCCCATAGCTGAGGTTATGTCGGGTTTATTATGGGAATTATAGTGAGCTCGTGCCTGAACGAGCACGAGGCCGAGGCTGTAGTCCCGGTGGATCGGGTCAGACGGGTCTTTTACGGTATTTGCGTTTTTCCGATTTGCACTCCCCTTGATTTTCCTCCTCACTCTTCTCCGCCTATTTTTTTTATCCTGTCCCTTCTGACATTCTTCACCTTCATGTTCAAGGTCTAAAGTGTCCTGTATGCTCCAAGTTTATTCTGCCGGATGATATCGAGTGTCACCTGGTCATGTGCCTGACCAAGCCACGACTCAGTTACAATGGTAAGTGGATCGAATGGTGACAAGCTTGTATATTTATCTTGATTAATAATAGATACCATTTCTTAAATTTCCCTTGTTTATTAGTCGGCGAATCGTTTGCATCGGAAATGGTGCTCGTCTGATTTAATTAATTAGCTGATGGTAATTATTAGGATGGTAATTAAGTACGCCTTTGCTTATTTCCATGACAGAGGATGTGCTGACGGATGGAAAAGGCGAATGTGTCATTTGTTTGGAGGAGTTACAATCTGGAGATCTAATAGCCCGCTTGCCCTGTCTCTGTATATATCATAAAAAGTATGTACGATAATATGATTTATCTGTATTTTGTTTTAATTCTTCATCTACATATACTGCAAAAAATATTGGTGTGGATTTGTAATTCTTGGTACTTATATCAATGTCATTATAGTATGGATTTAAAACCTATAATGTTAAATTCACATATTAATATTGATATTAACACTAATACAGTGAGAATTAATAGACACTATATTGTGTTGAACTGATGTTTTTTTTGGAAAGAAAAACAGAAAATATGTTGATAATAGATCTGTTCGCGTAACGTAAAATCTCAAAAAAATTTTGCATTTAAAATGAAATAAATATTTATTCAGGAGTTAAACAGACCTGATAATGTTGTTTGGTTATTGTTAAGAAATTCATTGAAAAGAATATTATAAGTTGCTATAAATTGTTATAAAAACATTAGTATATCTATATCACTTTTTAATATTGAATTTTTTAAATATTAAAATATAATAGATAATATCGTTCTCTTACTATTAAGGTAATAACAAAAAAATTAAGTTTTTTAAAAAAGAGAAAACTATTTATTTTTTAATTTAACAAAAAAATATTGATTGATAAACTAATATCGATAAAAAAAATATATTCTTAAGCCAGCGACTCGCGATGTATGTTTTCTTGTTTGCTTGTATTTTAGTAAATTACTAGAAATTATATGTTCCGTGTGGTACAATTCTTAATAATTTATTAGAACTCGAGCAAAAAAAACTGTATCATGTGCTGCTGATTTTAGAAACATAAGTTTTGAAGTCTTTTTTGTCATTTTTGTTTCAAAATTACCTTTTTTTAGTTATAATGATTTTAATGTTCTTCAAAATTATAACAAATCGAATAATATAATAATAATTAAGATAATCAAAAGTTACAATTTAAAAAATATCTCTAACAATTTACATTCATCTAATTCATTTATGATAATAATTCGAAAATGATATTCTTCTAGTTGGATTACTTTTTGAAGTAAAAGATATAATATTAAAATAATACTTATATTATTACATATTATAAATACAAATCATTAATTACTTAACAAATTAAAAATATCACCTTTAGTTACTTATGTACATTATGATAAGATAGATAATGTAAAATTTCATGTTTCTTCTAGCTGTATTGATAAGTGGTTTCAAGTGTGAAGTATAGTGGAACAAGTTGCTAGCCCAATGGACATTTACGTCGATGGGATTGAGGTGGCAGGAAATGGCAGAAATTTTAAAAGAAGCTAGTCAAGGTGGCTGCTAGTCCGCAATGGTGATTGGTGCATGCGGTGAATTGTTCGACTGAACGAGACTCACTCATCAAATCGAACATACGGAAACACAGATGTTTGATTCAATCCTCAATTCTGCTATTGTTAAGCGGAGGACTTAAATAACAAAAAAAATCGCCATAGGATTCAACGATACACAATGCTATTACCTATACGTATCTATAATTAATCTATTATTGCTCTATCGCTTAATATCAATTGTACTATATTTATAAATTTTATTTAGTTTTACATCTTGAACTCAATTTAGCGCTTAAGCAGGACAATCTTTATTATTATCAATCATGATTTCTTCTTCTCTTATTCTTTTTACGATTCTTTTTTTTTTCTTTCTGGAAAAGGGGGACTGGACGAATCTTAGTCAAGGAGACCTGCATAAGAGCAGGTGAGCTCTACCTTAGATAAGTTAGTTATATACTTTAATTAATTTTTAGTATCGAGACGATATATCGTAATTTTCGTTGTCTGTTGGGGAATGAGTGCTAGAAAGGATATTTTTGATACTTTCATAAAAGGGAGAGCCAGAATGTGTATAAGAGTTTCGAACGCTGGAGATGACGACGTAACACTGTTGATGCTGTAGTAACAATAAAGGTTCTGATTTAACCTTCCTTACTGAGATTCATACTAATGTGATAATCTCTTTTGTTGTTATTAGAGAGAATTGACACGCTCCGTGTTACCGAGATGTACAGTCTATTGTCGATTACTGAGGATTACCTACTGTATAATTAATCTCTTTTGTATATGGATAAGGATTGACATAACCCAGCAGAAGTAGTTTTTGTAATACGAACAATCAAAGTCTATCATTGTTCCGATAATATATGCGCAAAATCGTATATGTTCAGCTCGGATTTGTCTTTGCGTGCGATTTAAAGATACAAACTAACAAAGCAATGAGACGAATACGATGAGAACAGAAAAGTGAGAGCGATACTATGCAAAAACGAGAGAAGAACTAGAAATAAATTATATTAATAAAAATCGAACGCGTAAACATAAAGTATGTACATATATATGTATATGTATATATATGTATATATATGCATACTCTCGCGTACTTTCTCTCGACAGATATTTAAGTACCAAACTAAACACTTTTCACTGATAAACGAGAACTGAAAAATTTTACGAGCTACAAAAAAGTCATTCGTTGGACTGCAAGCGGTCTTTGAAAAAGATTAATTTGGAGCTTTTAAAATATATTTATTATTATAAAAATATATATATGAAATGAATAAATTAAATAAGTATGTAAAAAAAGAAGTATCTCTGTATTCAAGAGAAAGTGCGCGACGCCTAAGACATCCTGTATGTATACATATATTATTTATATATATATATATATATATATATATATATACACACACACACACACACCTTTTTTAAGCTATACGAGAGGTAAGTGGCCGTAGAGACGACAAGCTCGATTTCGTAAAGAAATAAAAAAATAAAGAAAAAAAGATGGAGGAGGATGTAATAAAGATGCGATATCGGTAATAGCGACAACAATATTGCAGGAAAATTTTTCTTTGTATTTTGTTACTAATCGAGGACGAGGATTGTGTCTCGCGACTGGTCATTTATCGATTTTACGATATGTGTAAGGCTCGTTGTATGCGACGATTTTATAAAGACGGAATGCGGGGAAGAAAGCGGAAGGTAATCGCGCGCAATGAGGGACGCAAATAGATCGCATGCATCCTACGGCGCGGCGAACGACGAAACGCAAGGAACACGTGCGTTGCATATGTAGTGCACGTCGAAGATCGCGATACACTCATACATCGCACGTGCTTGCCTCGCTCTCGATCTCGGTAGCGGTATTCCGTATTGCGAATCTGTTCATATCTTAGTTGTACGTACCTTCTTATTTGCTGTATTGAAAAAAAGGAGGCATTATATATGTGTGTATTTGAAGGCGCGGTGCTGCAACTAAAATAATAAACAGAATCAACGATATCTGTTTTATTATTCAAGAAAGAAACACGAAATATAATGATAGATTTTTTATGTACGTTCTTATGTCTATGCCTTTTATTTTTTACGAAATGCTGAACCAACGTATCCAATTTTTAATATTAATTGGCGAGTTTTAAATTACAATTCTGCTAAAGCTTTAATACTTCATATTTTTTTCTGTCTGAAACTTTGCCAGATATCCCTAATTTTTAATTTGTCATTCGACAACTGTATTATACTTTTAGATAAAAATAGACTCGAGATCGTTTAAAGAATTTGTCGAAAGAGACGCTTAGTTCTTGGGACATCTTTTATTGAACCGTGTTGTCTCACAATAGTTACATTGTGATACTTTTTGTTGATTTAAGATGTACGGTACGGAATTCCTCTATCTGAGGGGCTGTAATAACGATCTGATTGTCGTCAAACAAAACGTGAGAGCCCGAAAGAATGCGTCTACTCTAGCTCCGTAGAATAAAGAAAATGAAATGCGGTGGAAGGCGGTAGAAGCCTAAACTCGCAGGATTGTAACTGTGGACACACACAGGTTGTAATGAACCATTTGTATGTACGACACTATTGACTTAAATATATAGTTTATAAGCTATGTTCGATTTATGAGACGTTTAATTTTAGAAGCTGATTTTATTTTATGTGCGAGCAGGAACATGAATCGTGCGATCATGGTAATTATGGGTAGATATTGTGAATGATTATTACATAAAGATTTGATAATTTTTTATTCTTCGACCATATAGCCTGATTTTGTTTTATTAAAAGTTAAGTTGAAAAATATTTTTTTAAATGTTAGATCGAAATAAAATAATGTTTTGTTTTAGCATTAGATTGAAACGAAGCTCTGTTTAAACAAAATTCATGTATGATTTATAAAAGATTAAGATTTGATCGTTTAAATATTTATTCATGAATATATTATATAACTTGAAGATAAATTCTTGAACATTCTTTTCAGATGATTACTACAAGTACTCCATTATTTTTGCCTATTGTAAACTTCTTTCAATTTAACTGAAAATGGATACATTATTCATTACATAAATATGTAAACATTATATATCATATATTTTGATGAATCATCATAGAAATATTTTATTTTTTTGTTTGCTGTGTCAGGAAATTCTATCCTATTATAATATTATTTTTTGTTCTTAAGTAAATATTTCAGAAAGATTTTGAAACATCTGTATGAATCGTAAGACTTTCAAACCAAGAGTCGTGTTATAATGAATCATCTTGTAAGGATAATTTGTATGGGATCTGGCTTTTCTTACCTGCTCTTAGGAAATTTCATTCGATTCCATTCAGACAAATGCCCGTATTCATAATCAAACTTTGTATATAAGGCATCTTTATTATCCTAAATTTATCTTCAGATATTCAGTAATCAATGAAATAATTCGTAGAATATCAGAAGATAAAAAAATCTATATCAAGCTGAAATTAGCTTATGTTGTTTTAGGTAAGTTTATAGAAAATATGTCTTTTGCGTATTTATAATCAGGCCTTATATTTAAGGAAGCCTTAAATATAAGGCCTGATTATAAATACGCAAAAGACATATTTTCTATAAACTTACCTAAAACAACATAAGCTAATTTCAGCTTGATATAGATTTTTACTTTTTCTTCAAATTATCATATGTTACACATCTGTGGTGTCAGAGTTAGAGTAGAACTTTGGCCATTTATCATGGTTGTTGATATCAAGTCAATATTAACATAATTAATCCATTGATATTCTTGAAATTCGAAAATAATTTACAAAATTATCTAGCACTAAAATGTAGTAAATGAATTAAAAAATTCAAATTAATCATTAAATTTTAATTAGAACTTAATAGAGAAACGTGATTGTTAATGCAGAGCATATATCGTAATTAATATTACGCTAAGACAGTTAAGCATGGAACGTTCAATGTAAATATAAATTAGAAATAGAATTTAATAAGTTACATGGAGCAATTAAAACTTAAATTCGCGATTTTTATTATTTTGAATGACTGATGTATCTAAATTTTTTCAACCTAAAGCCTTTTTAATTGCATCTCTCCATTCCCAGAATTGTTAGAATGTTTCGTACTATCTGAAGTCAAGTTAGTCTTTTTCTTCTTTTTAAAGGTCTTTTATATGAATTTCCGCATTCCTCTAGAATGGGTCAACTTTTTCTTTAGAAAAGAAATGTGAAAAGAAATTTTTATGAAAAGTGAAAATTTTTATGTATGTATATATGTACTTTTATCTGAAACATACAAAAATTTTTAACGTTTCCGCTCTAAGAAAAAAGTTTTATGGTCGATTCTCAGGTAGCAATTCCTATAGAATGGGTCAACTTTTTCTTTAGAAAAGAATCGTGAAAAGTGAAAATTTTTATGTATGTATATATGTACTTTTATCTAAACATGCAAAAAACTTTTTCCACTCTAAGAAAAAAGTTTTATGATCGACGCGTTGGAATGTTCCATACTATCTGGATTTCTATTATGATTATTTAAATTCGTCAAAAGTAAACACATTTTTTTATTAATAAAAAATTTAATTATCGCACTTAATGAAAACAATAAATACATCCAATAGAAGCACGTATTTTCCACAAATTCCAGCAAAAGAATGAGTCCACAGGAAGTGATTCATAATGTTTCATAATGTTTGTTGAAAAAACTATGGTGGAAAATACTAAAAAAATTTATATTATATATTTTCATATGCGATATTTTTTCGAAAATTAGCCCAAATCGAGTAAACAAGAATGGATTGAAATATAAATTGAAATGTATTCAGAAATAAGCACTCCTAAACATTAAAATAAATCCTTTTCTTCAATTCAAATGTAATTTTTATTTATTTAATAGGAATTGCATGCAGCACATTTCTATACTCTTTAATCTAAAAATAATATCAGCTTTTTCTGTAAATGGTGAGTATTGCTCAATTTAAAATTCTGAGTAAGAAATGCTAGAGAAAGTTTTCCAATCTAATTGAATTCAGTAGAATCCAATTAAATAAAAAGAAATTTCTTTATTCAATTAGATTCATAATGGACTTAAAATACGCATTAAAATTTTAATCTATTTTAATATCTATCTTTGATTACTAGAAAGTTCGAATTACGAACTATTACCTGTAGACTCAACGATTGAAATTTTTCGAAAACACGTGCTTCTATTAAATGCATTTATCTCCCCCCCCCCCTCCCCTCTCTCTCTCTCTTTCATTAAAATGCTATAATTAAATCCTTAATCAATAAAAAATTGTATTTATTTTTTGATGAATCTAAACAATTGTGATATAGAAATCTAGATGGTATGGAACAGCATTACTGCAATATTAAATATAGGGTTTTATTTTCGGAAAATATAAATTTTTCGAGAATAACCCCCTATTTAAAAGCGTTTCAAATCTATAATCATGCGCGGTCTTAAAATTTCAGCCAATAAAATGATCATAAAGCGCTTCTAAATTACTTTTATTAAATATCGGTTTTTACTCGACGATCGCAAGTCCTCTGCCACACGTTCCGTGTGAAAAAATAGGTCTGTTCTTTTTACTGAACTTTTTACATCTTTCCCATACACCTTTCCTCTTTTTCTCTCCTATTTCTTTTCCTATTGAAGAGAAAAGAAGAAAAGACAGTACCTTTGTTTTCTCTTTCTTTAATATCCGAATATATGTATATTTAGCTTGTTTTAAGTAAACATTTTTGAGAATTATAACAGCGAACACACCTATGAACAGATCAAAGATAGCGCATAGAGATCCTGAGGATCGAATAAGATTGATTGGTTATCGTAAGCGCATTGGTGGGCGGAGGGGAAATGTCGCACAACGAGTTGTGGTTGGTCGGTGCGGTAGCCTCGGGGGTGCTTTGAAGGTTATAGCGAGCGTCCGGCAAGGATCGGGTTTTTGTTCGTGAGTTACCGCGCGGGTGGCTCAGATCGGTGGCGGCAGACGCGTTTCGTCGTTGCGGGCGGAAAGACGCGCATTGGGCTTGATACAAGTGGCGGCGCATCTACCGCAGCTACCGTCTACACGTGAATTCAGGCCGCTCACGCGTTTTACGTACGGTAAAGTGGACTCGATGTCGATAATATGTCGGCTACGAGCAACGTTAGGACGACACGGATGCACAGGATGGCCTGTCGGGCCGTTTGACGATTATTTATGAATTCACGGAAAGATCTGAAGAGAGGGTATTCACGGTACAATTACAACAACATCATCAACAATAACAACATGGTGAAGGAGAAGGCGAATTCAATCCGCATGTATGACTCGGAGGGCTATAGACGTAGGGCCGCCTGTATCTGCGTCAAGAGCGATCTCGAGGATGAGGTAAGCCAGCTGGCAGATGGCAGCCACCTGTATCTTTGCCGGCATGCGGTGGTCGTTGCAAATGCCATGCTTGAACCGGCTAGTTTTACTTTTCTCTTTAAGAGTTGATCTTTTATCCGATCGTTGATCGACCTGGACTTGTTTCGTTGAGGTCGACAAATAAGTTGAATTCTCTTTTTCTCGTATGAAGTCTCTCACATATACCGTGAATTCTTACAGGTATTACTAGTTACATCCAGTCGAAGACCCGACAGTTGGATAGTACCAGGTGGCGGCGTCGAACCCGAGGAGGAACCAGCGGTCACCGATCTTCGCGAGGTCCGAGAGGAGGCTGGCGTTTTAGGACAGTTAGGCCGTTGCCTTGGCACATTTGAGGTTATAACCCGTGATGTATGCCACACAGATATTATAATTCTTTATATATCATGTTTTCCTTTTTTTTTTATTAATGTACTGTGTTCTATACATAACTAAATCATTAGCTGTGTTCAAGAAGCAAGAACAATTTTGTAACTGTTGTAAGATCTTCGATATGATTGGTTTATATATTTGTGAAGCCAGCGAATAATTAAGCCAAAAAGCCTGTTTTTTTTAATTGAACTTCTTGCTTCATCTTTTTTCTTTTCTCTTCACGTTGAAGGGAAAAGGAAAAGATGTCAACAATATAAGAAGTTTAGTTAAAAAGAACAGATCTAACAAATCATGTTAAAAAAAATGATTGTGCTCAGTAAAAAAGACAATTTTGCAATTATTGTAAAATTCTTTAATGGTCTTGTCCTTAGTTCCTTACTGGATTTAAATATATAAACTAATCATATTAGAGAATCTTACAACTGTTGCAAAGTTATTTTTTGTTTTGTTGAATGCAGCTGTAGTCTGTTCACATTGCATTTTTTTTTCTCTCTCTTCAATATATATTTATCGCATTTTAAGTGCAAAAATTTTTGATAATTTAAACCAATGCGAACAGACCTGCAATCGTTCAGTTTGTTGATTTCGATCCCAAGCAAGATAGTAACGGTGCTGATAAGGCAGGTTCTCCCATTTCACATGGCTTTCCTTTTACAGAACACAGAGCACAAACACCGAACGGAAGTATGGGTTATGCGAGTGACCGAGGAGCTGCCGGAGTGGGAAGATTCGCGCGCTATCGGCCGGAAGCGAAAGTGGTTCACCATACCAGAGGCCCTGCTGCAGCTTGGTCAACACAAGCCCGTCCAGCGCTCTTACCTACACAGCCTCCACAATACCAATCCACGACATAATCCCACCTCTCAGCTGTCTAATCATTCGCACTCCACGATGGCGTCTATCGAACTAATGAATAACTCTAGTAACAATACCCATTTAAGCGAACACAGCTAATATCGTCGCGGATTAAACCCGTTTTTTAATCCAAAATTCGACCTTCATGGATTCTCTCCGAGCAAAAACTCGCTGTTACTTCTCCCTTCTTCCCTTAAGGGAATTCACTATGCAACTCTACTGTTGTGTTTTATATATATAAATTGATATTATCTATGTGCTTATCTTTATCATTGTATTCTTAGGTTAATTACTACGATTATTATCACGTTTAGTCTTAGATTGTTGATAAATCAGTTCGTGAAGGAGCATCTTTTCTTTTTTGTAATCATATTTCATTTCTGATATGACCTTTTTTTATTGAATGCGCGAGAAGAGTGATTAAGTCAATTATTTTATTGTCATTATTATTTAGTGTTTTGTGCCTAATATACGTAGAATGCCATACACGTGATCCTTTTCCATGTATCGCATATCCTGTTGCGCGAACTTTTTCTACATTTTGTCGAGGCGAAGCGGAAAAGTTGCGTTATACTTGTTAATATACAGACGATAAATTATGTACTTTGTATATTAACTTCTTGAATAAATTTTGTAATGATTTCTGCGAATAAGATGCGCGCAGAGCTACTGCTCTATACCCTCTATAGTAAAAAAAAACTCAAATTTTTGCAGATATAACATAAGTTTATTAATATTTCGTTGTTAACAGCTTAAGTTTCTCGAATAACGTATGACTTTAGATATCTATAATTTTCTGTATTTATTTTTTTTTGCGATACTTTGTGATGACAAATTTGTATAGCTTAGGTTTAGATTTTTGTGGAAGGAAAGGATCTAAGGAGAAAGTGAACAACTTTTGTAGCAGACTAATATGAGACATTAAATTTTTACAATTTAAATAATTATATTTTTATTTAATTCTCTTTACATACATCCTAGCGCACGATATTAGATTTTACATCTTTTTTTGACATTCTTTTGAAGTTTAAATATACTTGTCTTATTTTTAACTAGTTTTCTTTTTAAAACAGCATTTTTTTCGATTTTTTTTTAAAGTGACTAAAAATTAAGTACAAACAATTGGAAGTCAGATATACATCGATATACTATGCGTTCGGGGAACACACTATCAGCGTTTGTATCATACTAACCTTATAGACAAATATACAATGAGCATGCGCAGATCATGAAAGATCTCACGTGGCTGTGCAGTAATTTTGTAACGCGGGTGAAGTTAATTTATTAAATTTTATAAAGCAAAATATTTAAATAAAAAATAACCGTGACGGTTTTTTTTTAAGTAAGTACAAACTTAATTGGAAATATGTTTAGTTAATATAGTTTTTTGATCCATAATATTTTGATCAACAATCTTTAAGGTTAGGGTGCATGACACAAGCATCAGAATTTCAATAAAAATTTTTCTAAATGTGTTAATAAAAAATTACATAATTCATCATTGCAGTTATCATTGCGTTTACATGCCTGTATACTTTAAAGACAAATCTGAGAAAATGAAAGAAGAATCAATGGAAGATATCGCGAACGAGGAAAGCAGCGAGAGCAGCGACGAGTCCATGGAAAGCGAGAATGCAAACGAAAGTCAAACAGAAACCAAATCGCAAGTGTATCTTCCAGGACAAGCTCTACAAGAAGGAGAGGAACTTACTGTGGATAAATCTGCGTACAAATTGTTGCATCACGCACAATCTGGAGCACCGTGTCTCAGCTTCGACGTGATACCAGATGATTTGGGTAATTCCAGAGAGAGTTATCCTTTAAACATGTACATAGTCGCTGGAACACAAGCTGCCAGGACGCACGTTAATAATCTCCTTGTCATGAAAATGTCCAATTTGCGTGGTAATAAACAACATTCTGATGATTCAGAAAGTGAATCAAGCGATTCAGAAGATGAAGATGACGAGAGTAAGCCAGTTATGAGTGTTGCTCCTATCAAACATCAAGGATGCATTAATAGAGTGAGGTAAATATTCTAAAAAAGGATAAATATTCACATCACATTGATAACTGAAGACTGTGGAATATATATTTGCATACATTTTTATTTGTAATATTTACAGATGTACAAAAATTGGTGGAGAAATTCTAGCTGCCAGCTGGAGTGAACTGGGACGTGTAAATATCTGGAATTTACAAGAACAGTTGAATGCAGTTGAAAATCCCATCTTACTGACTGCATATCGTAATAAGTGTGATAAAGCAAGTACAGACATTAAACCATTGTATGCATTTAAAGGCCATCTATCTGAAGGATTTGGTCTTGATTGGAGTCGCTTAGAACCTGGTACTCTAGCATCCGGTGATTGCAAAGGTAACATTCACATATGGCGAGTTGATAACAGTGGCGCATCCTGGCACGTAGACCAAAGGCCATACAATTCACATGCTCCACACAGCGTGGAAGATTTACAGTGGTCGCCAATTGAAAAGAATGTTCTCGCATCATGTTCCGTAGACAGAAGGTTTGTATTTTCTATAAAATATTTATATGCTCTCTTATATTATTGACAAGGAAAGGACAGTGAACTTGTTATAGATTTTTACTTCTTTTAATATAGTGAATCTACATAAATTGTCGAAGCGTTTTATTGAATGTAATATCTTTGTTCGTAATATTTTTTTAATGTATAAAGAAACCCCATACTAATTATATGGAAAATTCATTAAATAAGTTTTCATATAATATGTAGCTTATAATGTAATGAACAAAATATAGATTCAAAGCTCAATAATGGATAATTTTTCAGCTATACCTAAGTAAACTTGTGTTCATGCATAGAGCATCTTTGATATACCTCAAAAACTATTCATTTGTCTATGACAGATGTCATAGATATTTATGTTGAAGGAAATCGAAATCTGCGACAAATCGACTGTATCTTTCTTGTGAATAAAATTGAGAATTGAATATTATTGCTTCACAAATTATTATGAAGATTATTTTATTCCAGCATAAAAATTTGGGACATGCGAGCAAGTCCACAGAATGCGTGCATGTTGACAGCGTCTGGCACTCACACGGCTGATATCAACGTTATCTCTTGGAATCTGAAGGAAAGCCAATTTATGGTATCAGGCGGAGACGACGGGATGCTCTGCGTATGGGATTTGCGACAGTTCGGACCTAATGGTGCAAGTCCGGTTGCTACTTTTAAGCAGCACACTGCGCCAGTCACTACCGTAGAATGGCATCCCACTGAAGCCACAGTGTTTGCTTCCGGCGGAGCTGACGATCAGATCGCTCAATGGGATTTGTCGGTAGAAGCAGATCACACAGAAGAACTTCAAGACAGTGTGTTAGCTAAATTACCGCCACAACTACTGTTCATACATCAGGGTCAGTCAGATATCAAAGAATTGCATTGGCACCCGCAATGTCCAGGAACTATAATATCGACCGCGCATTCAGGATTCAATATATTCCGTACGATTAGTGTATAATATTATCTACGATAATATGTAAAAAAATATATTTTTAAGAGTCTATGAAAAACAATATATTATGTAAAATATATCTACAAGATCCTTATTTCTTAAATTAATTTTTATTCCTATTTATGTAATTTTTTAATTTTGATAATCAATATTTTAAAGATGGACTGTGATGAATTATTTGCTTGTATTTAAACACAAATGTCTTCACGAAATACGTTCGTTAAAACATTACAGATTATTTATTTATTAATAATAAGGACAACAGGTGTCTTATAGTAGGCCTCCCATGTGGACAACTCCATGGATTCTGCATTTGTGCCATTTGCGTTATCAGTCTCTGCATCTCGCTGAAGTTTAACGCTGTACCGATCATGACCGCGCTGCGACACGCTCTGGACGCTAACATTTGCCTGACACGGCTCGGACGATATATATGCTTATCCATGTTTTCATTGCCTGCTTCTCTAATGAGAAATATTAATTCCTCAATGTCCTCTTGATCAAATTGCCAATGACCACTAACAGGCATTCCTATTAATTCTATTTTTTTGCCAGGTTCAGCTAAAAGTTGTAAAAAAAAGTTGCATGATGTAGAAAATTGTAAAATTTAATATTCCATCGCTTTTTTACATTTTGTAAATATTTTTTAAAAAATGACTTATAAAAAAATCAAAACTAATAGTGAGACAATAAAAATATTGAAAATTGAATACATGCCTTGCTCATTGATATTAAAGGTAAATCCATTATCTTCGAACATTTGCTGATGTTCTATAAGTATCGTTTCATTCAATGCGGAGAAATTCAGTAATTTTGGTACAATAAGCTTCTGGGTTTTCAGCTTTGTTTCATTACTGAGCTTCTCGAATCGAAATTTTTCGTCAGTGGCGTGTTGGTCAATAATAAATAAATCATCCTCCAAGCGAGCTATTATGAAACCAAGATTAAACTGACCTATTATCTCCATCTATAAAAAATTTCTAAGTTCAAAACATAAATGTATAAAATTTCGATATTAATATTTTACACAATAAATTATATTTAATAATTGTAAATAATATAATGAAGTACATTATATATCTCGCTCATATTTGCTACAATAATGACACAACTCAAAGAGCAAAGTTTTCTAGAAAATAAGTTTGAATCATTATAATTTTATAATATTAATTTTTTGGTATAATAATTGATTGTAAAGGTATAAAAGTATATTCTTTTAAAATATATACTTTCTTTTTTTCATTTTTTTTTTAAAGTACAATTCCAAAATGACAATTTTTAAGTTATACTATTAAAACAAATAAGCGATATATATAATAAAAAATTATCTAATAAAAATTATACAAATTACTAACCTTGCCAAATGAATCTTTTGTCAATTCTTTTTGCAATTCTTTTTCGGCCTCGCTTTGATTAGCTTCCATCTGTACTCTATATTTTATTCTTTTAGCTGTACTGACAGGTGTTCTAGCAATATTTACTTTTTCATTTAATTTTTCTTTTATCGTTACTATACTTATCATCATTTCTGTATCTACAGGCTTTTTCATTGATTTGATATTAGTTTGAATATCACTTTCTTTCACAATATATGATACCGAAGGTGATACTTGTAATCTTTTAGCTGGCGGTTGCGTGTGACTAGACGAGATTGTCCTTTTCAAGCCAAAATTTAACTCCGTTAAAGTCTTGACTGTAAAATTCCCTTGCAGTTTGTCCCATTTTATTGTTAAACTGAATTTCAGTGTCGCTAATATGAGGCGTTCTTGCGTAACAAATATTGTCCTCTTATCAGGAGTAACATTAACATCGGCGCATTGCCGGTCTAATTTTAAATTAAAAAAGACAAACGGATACTGTTTATTGTTGTATTTATGATACACATTATTGATCAGTTTACCGACTTTCGCGAGATCACACGGTCGACCGTTCACATAAAAAAATTGTCGATCGGGCGAGGAACGTCCGATTGTGTGATTGCAAGTGCTCACGTAACACTCCCAATCGAAATCTACTATAATGTCATTAGGCAAATTGTATTCTTGCAATACTGTTTCATCCGGAGTTTGTAATTCGAGTTTAACGATTCCGTCCAGAGACTTCTTGCCAAACACAGAATTGACATTGTTTAGTACATCGTCGGTGTTCC